GCACTGGATAGCTGGCCAATCAGCGTACACCTCGCTTTTCAGACCGATGAGCTTTGTAAAAATCGAAAGGCGTTTCAGAAAGGCGGGCATAGAGGAGAAACAATAATGGTACATTATATGGAAAATAATGTATTTTTTTTTTACCTTAAACCGCATAAACACATTGCATTACACCAAATACACAACATAATGTTCTTTTTAGCAACGTCATATGACCCCTTTAAAAACTAGCCCAAAACTAGCCCAATCGATATTTCGAGGGGGGTCCCTCTGTAAAAATCGTGTTCCGGGGGTAAAATACACGTTTTTTGGCAGGGTTCCCCTAGTAAAATTCACCTTTTTGGGGCTAAATATTTCGTCATTGGGGTCGCTTAAACCTGCGGCAACAGTGTTAAAGTATGCTAAAGCGTTAATTCTGTGGGAAAACCGTGGACTTGGCAACACTGATATATATATATACACACACACACACACACACACACGATTACCCTGATATAAAATTATTCAATTATTCAGATTCCATCTTTCCTACTTCATCCCAAACTGAACCTGAAACCCCCAATTGAAAGTCGTCTCGACACGTCACTACAGTGAACGATCCACGAAACAAACACCACCTCTCAGATTAAACAATGATCAAAACACTGCGCTCAAATGTTCCTCCTGTGATCCAGTTGTCTTTTTAACTGCTCCTTGGAGATGAGGGATTCTGGAAAGATCAGAGACACTTGAGCCCAAATCTCAGATCAATAGATCCGATCGATGGACAGAGTCCTGAAGAGACACTTCACATACTGAACAAACAGCATAGTTTCAATCGCTTTGTTTTGTTCATCACAGCGAACTGTTGTCATGCTGAGACTTGATGTTTGAGACAGAAATATTAATCTTAAAGTAAGAACATCCCCCGTTGTTAGTAAATTAGATGCTCCTCATGCCGGAGGAGTCCCACAGGGCAGATCGTGACTCACACAGGGTCTCAAAAGTGCAGTAAATAATCTCAAGAGGACAGAAGACCGAAGACACTGAAGCGATCAGTCATTCATTTTCAGTGAGAGAAGAGACATGAGTGACAGGGACTCTAGATAAACGCAGTGTGTGTTCCAGAGAGTTAAAATATTGTCTTAATTTAATAGTTACAACTGAATTGG